TGTGTGTGTGTGTGTGTGTGTGTGTGTGTGTGTGTGTGTGTGTGTGTGGGTGAGAGCGAGTGTAAGACTTGCTGGATGTTATTTTAAATGTGTTTTAACAGTGATGTAACGTCAAGGCGCCTCTGACATAATTAGGCGTTTTATTTTCATTTGTTTCCAGCCCTCATCATTCCCCATCAGGCGGCTGGCGTCACACTGTCACCTAGCTGTCACCTGGAGAGGCGTAGTGTGGTGTGTGTGTGTGTGTGTGTGTGTGTGTGTGTGTGGCTGTGTGTGTGTGTGTGTGTGTGTGTCTGTGTGTGACTTTGGCAGGAGGAAACACGGACTTGAAGAGAGTGAGTGAAGTGATTGAGATGGAAACAGGAAAGTGATGAAATGAGAGAGCTTGAAGGATCAAGGGTGAGCCAGTATGAACATAGGAAAATAGGAACCTGAAACAACCTCATTGTGGTGAGCGACAAGACCTGACTTGATTAGCAACACACCCAAAAAAAAGGGCGAATACAATTTGCTCTATACTGTGACCCCCCAACACTCCTTTGCCAGTTGTAATTGCTGCTGGGTTGGACGGTTAGCTGCAGCTATACAATCATTGCAATCACATTCCAGCAGCCAACCTGACACACTGAAATATTATCTGCATGTGTGTGATCTGTTTAAAGGTTATAAATGGGCTCCTTCACGGCACTAAGATGCAATACTAATAAAATAAGTAGGAGACGTTAAAGTTGAGCTAATCTTTCCTGGGAACAGAGCAGTCAGTAATGGAGGGGATGTGAGTTACAGTGTGTGTGTGTGTGTGTGTGTGTGTGTGTGTGTGTGTGTGTGTCGGGGGGGGGGCTCACAGGACGATGACTTACTGAGGGGTAATGATACACACATCGAGCTCATTATTTGGAACCTTGGTGAAGAAAAAACTGCTGTCCGTCTGTGAAGAAGTTCACCATAGTGTGCAAGTCTTTCTCCAGTTTGTATAATTGTCTTATTTTCCCCTAAAACAACATTTCTAATCCCGCGGAACGGGGCAGTCGGTGTCAGGACCTCGTGCTGGAATACCATGAGACGGATTGAGCGGAGTCTGAGCTCCGAGACCATGTGCAAATAAGTTCACACACATTCTAAAATGCGGTAGACACAATGACACAACACAGTTATGTAAAAAACATTTAGGTACAGCTTTGAGAGTCATTCACTGTATATAATCTCTTCAAACTGATTTGGCATTCAGATATTTTGGTATCAAAAGCGTTGTGGTTTTCCATTCGTAGTCCGAGTTGTATTGACCTATTTTAAAATAGAGAAATAAACAAGTGCTAAATCTTTTACCGTTATCCTCATATGTGCAATGTGAGAATGGAAAGCTTGACAAAGCAACAGTAGCTAAAAGGGGCGTGACTTAGCAAATGGCCAGTTCAGTAACAAACACTTGATCAGGGCAAACTCAACAATACAAATGTTGCATTTTCACCCATGATTACATTGAAGCCAGACAAACAACCAAGACTAAGGAGTAACTAACGGAACATTTCAAACTTCCCCATCCAGCGGATAGAGTTGCTGGTCGTGACACGCAGAGTTAACACCTCTGCTCTCCTTCTCCTGCCTCCGACAGGATTCATTGTTCCTCTCTGATTTGTGTGTTTTTTATGTTAATCGCTCCCTCCCTCACACACAAGTCTTGTCTGAGGGAGGAGGGGGGGGGGAGCGGGGTAGGGGGATTCAGTGGTCGTCAGCCGCCAGGGTCATTTGTAACGGCTGATGAATGAGCGACTCAAATAAATGAATAAGTGCAACTGCATCTGACCCACCCCGCTTTTCCCAGGCTCTTGGGCGTTGTGGGGAGGGAGGGGGGGTAGAGGAGGGTGGAACATAGCGACAGGGCCACAATTGATTTCCTCATTGCTTCAGTTTGTCGCTTAATCTGGCGATATGCTGATAAATCTTCGCAGTTTGTCAATTAATTTCCCTGAAAAATGAGACCCAAAATGGCGAGCACATCAATACAGCAGCGGATTCCGTGTCAAAAATTAAGCGGTAAAATTAATTGCCCTCCCATCCGCTCCTGCTAAAACATAACTAATGAGGGAGGCAATTATAGCTGCAATGCCCACCTCTGGGGTTATTTAAAACACACACACAAACACACATATATATGTGTGTATATATATATACTCACACACACATGCAAAGAGAGGTTGTATATTTTGACTTCAACGTTCTTTTATTGTCTCGCAATAAGGCACATTTATGTCCAGTAAGGGTTGGGGGGGGGGGGGCTGAGCTGTATCATGGGATTAAAAGAGAAGAAGAAGCGATGAGCCAATATTCCCAAAGCCCACAAGTTTAAGGGGCTCTCAGTGCAGACGCATTAGAAGGAAATGGGATTTTTTAGGGTATATTTTTGTATCTGTTGCTGTACTTTAGGTTGGGGGGGTGGGGGCTGTATGCTTTTCTACCTATAGCTTGATTTGTTTGTTTGAGGGTTTGATGTTGAAGTTCAGAGGTTAGAGTTCAGTTAAGTAGACTTGAGGTTGATGATGATGAATGTGGTTTTAGGGTTATTGTTGCATAAGTATAAAGTTTAAGTGTTATTACGTGTTATTCGTTTACAGATGAGAGAGGTAGAGGTTCAGGTCAATCAGGAATATATGAAGTCAATGCAATGTTGTGTTGAGGGTGGTGTGGGGGGGGGGGTGTTGACAGTAGCATGTCACTCTTCTACTCCCCCACCTCGCTGTCCTCAGAGGGCTCACCGCCACAGAGCAGCAGATGAAAAGCACACATGTAATTTATCGCCAACGTTTCCTCCTCAAGAATAATTGTGGCGACCGCGGCTGGTAGCAGGGATCGATGGTTATGGATTTTTTTTTTCTGTGGTGGGGTCTTGTAGCGTCGGTGCGTAATGAGAGATGGAAGGGAGGGAGGGGGGGGGGGGGGGGGGGGGGGGGGGGGGGAGTGGAGGAGGGACTGTTTTTTTTTCTGATGGGAAGGAAAAGGTCTGACCAGATCTTTAGTATCTACTCCAGAGCGTAGAGACACATTGAAGGCCCTGAAACCTGTTGTCTCTCTATGAGCAATGGTCCGACATAGTTTGTTTGAGCAAACGGTTTGCAGTTTGCTGATAAAGTTTATTCAACACCATTTTCTTTTCATCAGACATCCGGTATTTAGAGCGGTAAATGTAAAGGGGGGATTTCAGGCGACCACAGACAGTAACAGAATTTGTTCATATGAAAACATTGCTCCTTTAAAGGCCATTAGCGCCGGGGTTAAGAAGCGAACCTGTATGAATTGGCTAATGAATGCACCTTTTTTTCTTAAGGCCGTTTCTTTCTCCCCTCTAAGTGGCTCTGCATTGAAGCTCCTCTCACAGTCGAGCGGCTTTTGAAGGAAACTTGAGGCCGCTTTGTCTCTGCGGAGACTCTGTGAAAGCTGCTATCTGTGCAGAAGAGGAGCCGAGCACCGCCGAGGCCCAGCTGGAGGAGTCACCCAAATGTGTTACCAGTGTGTGGCGAGAGCCGGAGTTCAACATCAGCATTCAGATGAATATTTAAGTGATGGGGATCTCGGCTGCACATGATGTACACCCATGCAGCGCGCGTCTGCTCGTTAGAATGCGTGGTGCCCGCAGTGCTTCCATGCATGTGCTGGCGTGCGGGAAATGTGTCACTAGGACACCACATGCAGTTTGATGTATGTATGTATGTGTGTGTGTGTGTGCGTGCGTGCGTGCGTGCGTGCGTGCGTGTGTGTGCGTGTGTGCATACGTGGGAATATCTGGAACCTCGGTATGCACGTCCATTCCATCAGCGTGTTTGTATGCACGCGTGCGTGCGTTTCCCTGAGTGAGCCTCATCGCAAAAACGTTGCGGTGTGTGTGCAGGAGTGTGTGACCGCCCGCGTGCCACGGCGGAGAGGGAGAAAGAGAGCGAGAGAGAGACGCCATCATGCTGTTAACGACAGAGCCAGATGCGGGGAAGAGAGGAGTGTAAAAAAGCTCTCCACGCTCCCCATCTGGAAGGCATCGCCCCCAAATGAAGTTGTACAAAACCATCCCATTGATAATAAAGCTAATTTTTATGGCTCTGACAAGTATGTAATTATGTTCAGCGGTGCTTTTCAGATTTTATCACAGTCAATAAACCACACTGGCAATTTCCCGTCCCCCGTTTGACATATTTACACGGATCCATCTGATTGGAGGAATTAGTTAGCTGTGAGAGCTCTGATGGATATACACTAGTGATCTGTGACTCCTGCTTGGCTCATCTGATAGCCAACTAGACCCGCTGCTCGTCTGCTCCGTCTGTCTTGTCTTTTCTCAGTTCCTCCTCCTTATGACACATTTCTCCCGATTCCATTAACACAATATTCTCTCCCGTCTTTGTCTTTTTGTACTTGGGCTCTCGCTGCCTTGCTCAATGGCAACCTCAGCGGTAGTTCTGAGTGAAGGGAGCATCACTCGGTCCTTCCTCCACCAGACTTTCCCCACTCCAAAGGACTCGAGGATTTCATAAATCTGCTTCAATAACCTTTCACTTATTACCTCCCCACAATATTTGAGCTTGTAATTTCACTGTTTAATTGTATTTGTTTTTGATCAATGTTGATGCGACTTTGAAATTAAAAAGCATTAGTGACAGATTCATTATACCGAGCCATATTTCGTTGAAGCAGACGGAGGGAAAAACAAGTGAAATAAGACAAATGCCATGAATAGTGTAGCTTCACGTGAAATGAAACCATCGGTGGTAGCAATTTATTTTTTTATTGATGACATATCCTGCATTTGCAGTGTGTCATAATAATCTTGATCCAAACGCACATCGATACGTAGGTTAATACATAACAAACTCAATACATATTAAAAACATCAACATTTTGTCTTGCAGTTTAATTTAGTTGACTAAACTCAATTCATATTATTATCCCGAAATATTAAAGGCTTGATGTCCTTTTACCGTCTCGGCGTTTAGAAATAGCCTGTATGTGGCAGGAAAGCATGATTGGATGGCATTGTTTTCAAGGTCCTATTAAAAGTTGGTTTTGGTTTATCACACCGTGGGTCTTATTTTTATATCTACAGCTTTCATTTCTCTCATTCCTCACAACATTCTCACCAAAGTGATGTTTGAGATCTTGGAGCACTGATTATGTTTTCTGTTTTGGCTAAAAAGTTAAGATTCAGTTTCAAGACTTCTTGTTCTCTTGAATGAGTGTAGGAATTAATATATAATAAATATAGTGTCTTTCCTCTCAGGTTCCTGCTGCCGCTCCCTTATTCCGTCTTGTCATTTTCTTTTTTGCCAATTTTTGCCAATTTGCCAATTTGTCTTTTTTTCCTCACCGACCCAGGAGACCCTAATGCTCTACCGTAATCTGTCTCTACAGGAGAGAAGTCTTATCTGTGTGACCTGTGTGGTTTTGCCGGAGGCACGAGACACGCCCTCACCAAACACAGACGCCAACACACAGGTAAGCACACACACACTCATGTCCACAACTAATTTAAGCACACGCACACTACCTGTGCAGACTTTCGTAATCTTGGACGGTGATTGACACTTCAAGATGTGAACAGCCACAGACAATTTTCTTTCACATAGTTTTAGCAACTGTTCGCTGTCTTTCTCACTCACACACACACACACACACACACACACACACACGCGCGCACGCAGGCAGGCAGGCACATCAGTGTGACATGCTGCTGTCAGTGATAGGCATGTGTACCAGTGTGGCTGACTGAATCTGAGCTTTTTAATTTCAGTTATCATTTCACCATGTCATTCTGTCGCTTAGGGAAATTGCATTTTTCAGATAGGCTGTCAATAACGAGTGCTTTTTTTTGGAAATTGGGATAGTGAAACAAATACTGTTCTTAACCGTTGTCTGGCAGGCGCCCAAGGATCAAGAATCCTGTTATAAATATTAATTTAGGTTTTCATAATTCATTCCTGTTTGCTCCTCAGTTTCTCTGCCACCTGAAAACCGCCAATTTCTGTCCTCCTCTCCTGTGTTGACACGTGTCAATGTCACAGATTTAGCTGAATGTTGGAATCTGTTGTCAGGCAGCTGCACATGAAGGGATCAGCCTGTGTTCTCCTGTCTGACACATTTTTAAACGCCACTGCTAATGCAAATAGTTTTGTGGTTCCAAGTTTTTTTTAAGGACAATATGTCACCTGTAAGTATCACTGAAGCTGTATTTTAACAAACACTACAGAGTCAATGGAATAATCTTCTTCAGTGTTCTGTAGGTTAGCAGCTCCTTAAAGCAGGCAGAGGTTTTATTGCAGGGTTGAAACACTGACATCACAGAAGCTGTTGAGTTAAATACAACCCTCTCTACTCTGGTCTGCCATTGGAAATACAAAAGAATTAATAAATACAATTCTCCCACAGAGCACAAAACTGGACCATTTTCCAACTTGCACCCACAGACATCAGTCCGAACACACTGATTGTAAGTTGAATTGATACCGTAAACTCGTGAGCGAGCATGCCTTTATAATTTAGAATCAAGTCTCTATTTCTGTGAGATTAATGTGTCAAATATAGTAATCATCCAATGATAGAAATCCTCCATCAAAATCATACTCATTATATTTCGTGAGGATGTTTTCATACGTTTCAAACATTCTGCTGTCAGACAGAAAACTTTCTTGGGAGAGAATATTTAACAAATATTTTTACAATTCACCTCATTTTTACTTACTTTTAACTAACACTTTAAAACTTCAGCCGGCACTTCAACTGCTGTCACTGCTTACAAACCGACTGACACTTAAACTATCGACAGTGCACACACTTCAACTTCGCCATGTTTGGCACTTCAGCCTCCAATGTAATTTGAATTTCTTTCGTTTATGGTTCAACTGACATTTGATTTCACTCTTTAAATAGCAGTTCGTCGGCTTTTGTCTCTTGCTCTCTTTAACTGTTGGTTCAACTGCTTTCACTGTTTACACACAAGTGGACAAGTAACTGCCTACAGGGCCTAAAGTAAGCAGACATGACAAAAGAGTTCATCAATTACACTACAACAGATATAACTGCCAACTTTGTTTTTGTCAATAATTGGTCTCCAAATGGATCCAACATAGCATTATGAGCAACTAAAGAAGTCGTTGTAGCGTTCTACATGGGGCTGTATATTTATGTGTCTGTGTGTGTGTTTGTTTGTGAAAACATTTCCGTCATCTCGGTCTCATCACCGCTGCCTTTCTGCCCCACAGGAGAGAGACCCTTCAAATGTAAGGTCTGCAACTTCGCCTCCACCACGCAGTCCCACCTATCGCGGCACAAGCGCGTTCACACGGGGGAGAAACCCTACCGCTGCCCCTGGTGCGACTACAGGTACCGGCTCATTGACCCCGTCCATGGTTGGTGGCGCTGATGGCTGCCACCATGGCACTGATGATCGGGGGGTTGATAGGTGGGGGAGGGGGAGGATGGTCTGTGCGGTGTATGTAAGTGAGTGAGTGTGATGGTGAGATAGCAGGTGGCATTGTAAGGTAGTTTGGAGGGGTGAGGGGTGGCGTTCGCTAATGGGAGAGGCTTTGTGTGTGTGTGTGTGTGTGCGTGCGTGTGTGTGTGTGTGTGGGAGAGGTAGAGGGCAGACAGGTCTAATCTCCACAGCACGGCTCCATCTCATCACTCTGCCATCATCAACAGGCCCAGCCAGATTCCCCACCCCCCCAACACACACACACACACACACACACACACACACTCTCACACACACACACAATGTGACTGTCACTGGCAGGTCCCTGTCATTAAAACACCATCATACCAGATCAGTAATTACACAGGAAATTGTCGGTGAAATTGAAAAAGTTTTGGCTGGCGTTGCACATCTCCATCTCTCTCTATCTCTCTCTCTCTCTCTCTCTCTCTCTCTCTCTCTCTCCCTCCGTCTCCCCTGGACACTCTCTCTCCCTCTCTCTCTATCTCTCTCTCTCGCTTTCTCTCATCCTGCGCTTGCTCGCCAGGTTGTGGCAGAAGAGTGTGAAAGGGAATGATCTCAAACCCATCATTGGTTTTAGATGTACTGTTCATTCCTTTTTTCCCCTCTGTGACAAAGTCATTTCGGCAGCTTGCTACACCTGCTCCGCTTGCAGTGAAGCGCTCGACTCCATAAGTCTTTTGTACGCTGTCCAACTTAGTAGCAATGAAATGCTGAGACGTAATAATTGTAGTCAGGCTATTATTTTGCAATTATCAAAGGATGATCTCACCTTGTACCTAAAGTTATCACAAAGTATCGCATCACCGTATCAATTAAGGAGCGACCGGTGGATGGCTTTTGTTTGATTTCACATGCATATAAGACGCTTTGAAGATTTTTGTGCCTAAATAATTACAAGTGTCATCTAGTAGCTTGAGAAAACTGCATCTTGTCTTTTAATATGTGCACTCCCAATTCAACTACAACATTTGCGACCGATATCCGGTTGATATTTTTAGCTAGCGGCATGTCCACCACTTTTTATACTAAATTATCTATGATCATAATAATAATAACGATTATTGGACGACTCCCACTGATGCTGGTGATCCACTGACTTTTCATCGAGGGCCATCCTCTGGTCCAAATGTTTTTTGGTTCATGACCAAATACCTGTAAAACTAATGACATTCCCATCAACCTTAGCTGTAATTAGTTTTTAGTGCTTAGTAGAAAATGCTAACATGCTAAACTAAGATGGTGAACACTGTAAACAATATACCAATATACATGTTCTCATTGTGAGCATGTTAACATCCTCACAGAGCCGCTGGCATGGCTCTTGGTTTCTTTTGTTTTTTAAGATTGGATCTGCCGATAGTCTACATTCAATGTGCTGCAAGAAATTGTCAATTTCCCCAGAATTTTATTCGTGCTGAGACAGAAATGTTGTACCTTTTCAGGACACGAAATCTCAGAACCCAAGAAAAAAGAACAAGATGAAGAAGACACCATCTTGCAAACATGTGTTGATTCCTTTTCAAATGGCTCATTAAACTTACTGGGTCAACGGCTCAAAGTGTCGAAAAAGAAAATGCTAATTATTTAAATTGGCTGATTTATTTTTTTTACCCTGAGGGCAAATTTTGGTCCCATATCAAACCACTGCAGCAGACTAACCCCAGTATCACAGATACGGTACATAGTACGAGTCAAACGTTCCCCACCCCATTGTTCCCTTACTGATACTTAATGATCATTACAGCTAGCAGCAAATGAAACAGTAAATTAGAAGCCCAATTAACATTTTGGTGGCCCCAGGGGTTCTGAGAGGTCCAGAGGGCAGGCGAGGGGGGAGGGGGGCAAGGTGGGAGGAGGAGGAAGAGTTTGGGGAAACGCCCCGCTGGCTTACTAATTTGAGGATGAGGAATTGAATGTGGGGGCCTCAGACAGCCGGGAGGGGCCCTCGCCTCCGCCCTGCTTCTACACTCTGAATACATGTTTAAAACCCTGGTGGCCTGACCGCGGTGAGGAGCGGCGAGATGAGTCGGCGCGTTTCACCTTTCGGTGTAAGCTTATGAAATAATTGTGGCGCAGATGTTGAGACATATTTAGGTCTGGGAGAAATGAAGCGGCTGTGTCACTGACAGTTCTTTGCTCAGAGAGACTATTTATATCTGTTTTACAGGTATACGTCTGAATTCCTCCAATAAAACGTAAATATTACACGGTATGGACGGCATCTACGGCTCCCACTCACACACAATGGGATCTCCATCAACGCTGCTCCTCAAATGCATGTAAATGAGCAGGGAGTGAGTGATCTATCAAATGCCACTCATCTCCTATTCAGACAGAGACGGATAATAGAGGGGGATAATTATAGTTGGGGAATCGTGTTAAAAATATTCTAATGATATTGCACTGGGAGTCCTGGGCTGTCAATTAATGATAGTCAATTTGACTATTCTCCAGCTATTTATGCAAACCGGAAAACTTCTTTACTTCACTGTTTAAGGAATCACTTATATTGTTAACAATGAGGAGGGTTTTCTTCTTTCTTTTTTTCTCATTAAAGCCACAGTGGCATCTTAAGCGGTCTAATTGATATGTAGCCTTTGACTCCTGCCACGCTACCATTCGTCTGGGGCTATTATTGTTTATTGAATGCCGCGGCATTCATGTTTCAATCTACCTGTTAGAATACCATTTCAATTCCGAGGCGATGGCGGCTTTGAGGATGACACGCTCGCTGTCGATGCCAGGCAGGTTTGCGACCTTGTAAAGTGAAGGGAGAGATGAGGGAGGAGAGGGGGAGACATTAATGATGATAACTGGGCCTCCTTGGCAGAAGAAGATCCAAATAGCACCAATGATCCAAATGCACCCCCCAATCCCTTCCCTCCCAACTTTTAACACACACAAAGAGACACATTTAAATCTCTTCTAACGAAGCCCCTCTCAATTACACCTCTCCCATTACCATACACTCGTTGGGAGGAGGAATATGGAAATGGCTGAAATAAGAGAGAGAGCGAGACAGAAAGCGGCAGAAAAGAGGTGATGCATCCATTGAGCAATAGTGTGGCTGATTCCCATGGTGAGTGCGTGGATGGGGGAGGAAGTTGAAACAGTGTTGGGCTAATTAATACGGTGTATAGTAGGAGGGCTGGTGTGGGCTTTCACTAACTGTGACACCTGCTGACTCCTAAATGCACGTTGTGTTGTTTTAATATGACAATTACGCCATTACCATATCTGAGAGATAGCATGGCCCCCCTAGGAATCCACCCGCGCTCTCTCTAGAACCTTTTAGCTCCGCTTCCAATTTTATCTATTTATGCTCCCACTTTTCGAATAAGAAATCAGTTCACTTTTAGTGTAAAATGCTTTTTTTTTCTTCTTCTTTTTCTAGAAGCGTGTGACAGTTCATGAGCATGTGACAGTTTAAGTTCTTACGTCGGCCTGTTTTTCCATTAGGCAGACGAACAGTCAATAGATGGTGGCCGTGATTTGTCTGTGAACCTTTTTCAGTTCTGCTAGTGATGCAATCACAACAGTGTGTGCCAATCTGCTGATTGGAGGTATGTTCATACATATGCACCCTCAGGCAACATAAATCTGACTCATTTAGACACTTCAAATTTGTCCGGGTCTTCGCAGTCTTTACACTTGATATTGATGTTGACCTACAGGACCTTATGGTTTCCATATTATGCTAAGTTAAGGTTCATCGTCAGCAGCTCCTTTTTTTATAAATTCTAGATATTAATCATGCTGTTCTTGTACCACATGTCACTTGTGAATCATCTTTAATTCGTCTGTTGATTCCCTATGGCGATCACTGCTTTGCTAACTGCCTGGTTCTTCTTCTGCTTAATTTCGAACAAACCAGAAATCTAATGACATCACATCCTGTGAGTCAGCGAATGACCACCTCTCTGACACAAAGCATGAACTCGATCTATTGTGAATCACACGGTGGGATGTTAACCAGTCATCTGGTCAGTCTCTGGACATTTCTACATTGCTGTGGATTACTGCTTTTCGGGTTGAGAGCGTGGCACCCCAAACCCGGCTGTAGTGTTGAGTTTAGTGAAGAGCCCTCATTGTCCACCGGTGGCTCTGGTGCTCATGCATTTCACACAGCGTGAACAGAACCCAGTGAGGGCCCGCTCTGCTTTTTCTTTTCTTTTTTTAAGGCCCCAGTGGAGCTGGGCTGGTCTGTGGGCCCTGTGATGGAGGGAGGTGTCTCTGCAAAAGTGAAAACAAATTCTCTCCTTGGCTGGCGTGAGCTATGGCACTGTGAGGCTTTATTGTCCCGGCCAAGGTGATAAGGGAGAGTAATTGCGTATTATACTGTCTGAGAATGTCAGGTCCAAACTGAGCACGAGTGCCCCATCCATCAACACACGATGCTGTGTGTTTATGTGTGTGTATGAAACTGTGTTCTACACTGCACATGCTTGCTTGCATGATGCATTATGTGTTTGCCCTCTTGTGCGTATGGTGTGTGTGTGTGTGTGTGTGGGGGGGGGATTCATGTCTGTATACTTGCACCTGTGTCATATGAGAGATTTTTTTATTTTGGCACAAACTACAGTCGGATTTGTTCATGTCTATGTATGTATGTATGTGCGTGTTTGTCTTGCCCATTCAGGGCGTCCGCAACACGTGTGTGTGTGTGTGTGTGTGTGTGTGTGTGTGTGTGTGTGTGTGTG